AATATATGATTTACATATGTTTATATTCATACTTAATAGTTGTTGTATATGCTATAGATGAAAATGTCACTGTGTAAGTTTCACAGCCTGTGAATTCTCTGATATATACCTAAAAAGATGCCCCACAAACCATCACAGGCAGCCAAAATATTTTTGACAATCTTAAGACTCTAGCAAATTTCCTGTCAATCTAAATTCCACTAGATTGATAAGTCTGATTTCTTATTCTTTAAAAACCCACATCCAGTATAGCATCAATTGGAAATTCATACTATTTTAGCTCCTTGCTCTAAAGTAGAAATAAATGTTAGGAACTAATGCCAGGATTCAGCTTGCATGGTAAAAATAGTCCTTGTTTAGCTTTCTCGTATTTCCTCTTGCTCAGGCATAGACTTTGGAGCAAACCAGCCTTGCACAGATTAATGGAGAACATTGCCCATATTTTGTGTGTATTATGCCATTATATTTGCAATAAACTTTGAGGAAAAGACTCAACTGTGATGTGTTATAGGAAGTTGACATGTTTCTTATTTCTTCTCCTAAATTAGAGAATCTTATTTGAAAACATTGATAAAGTCTTACTCTCTATATCCAACCAGTTTAAATGGGTACGCATTACTGAGGGTGAGATAGATGGTAAAAGCTGATAGAGAACACCATGAATAATGTGAACTTTTACTGACTGGATGAGTATAGAAGGGATATATCTTTCCATTGCCACTCTATTTCAAAGAATTTTAAGACCAAAGAATATCAGCTGTGACCATCTTTATGAAAACAACATGCCCCCATATAATTTGAATACATAGTTCTAAGATCTACATTTGATGCTAGAGTAGGCAAGAATTCTGTATAGAGAGAGAAGATAAATTTCTAACCAGCATTTTGAGTTGGATGCATATATATATGAAATTTCTAAAATCTGATGGCTTTATATCTATTTTACAGATAATCAGTGTCTTCATTTTGAGTTTGCCAGACCACATACAGTTATTTCCCAACCCATCATAAACAGATGCTGTTTTTTCCAAGCTACTTTCTGGAAGGCAGTGTGTTCAGGTACCAACTCTATCAGCACTGATTCACAAGGGGTCCAAGACACTGATTACATCTTGGCCTCAAAAAGGGAACATCTTAGAAGGTTTTGGGGCTGAGCAAGTTATTTGGGGAGTATAATTCTGTTGCCAGCTCTTTAAAGGTTCTGAGGAAACATCAAAATCAACAAATAAATAAAAACATTTAAAGGCCAGGCCCATCAGCAAAGAAGGTTAGTGCTATTTTCATTGTCAGCTGAAGAAAAAAAAGAGGATAAGCATATGGGGCAATTGAAAGGTTATATCTTTCTTTTGGAGGTGGTTTGCTTTTTAAAGGTTAACTTGAATGCTTGACTTTAAAAAATCAAAATCATCAGCTGCAAATGCTTAAAGCAGTTGGGGGTACCTTTTGAAGAAGAAAACAAAGGGTCTGAAATGTTTGAAAAATCATAGAAATGGTGCTTATATATTTATATGCTTACTCTATAAATATACACACACACCACAATTCATTCCTCTTCAGTTCTCAAATATGATTGCTTATACTCAGGCATTTTTTTTGTTGATACAATATAACTTTTTAATAACTTGTTAGGTACTCTAATCATTAGATAGTATCCAGAAACAATACAGTCGAAATATGAACCAGGGTAGCTTTCTGCCTAAATCAAAATCCACAGCTACACACAGAAACCAGTCATTTGCAGCATCTTCAGCTTCAGCTAAATAGGGTCTAACTATATTTTGCTGTTCACATTCGTGTATTTCAGAATCTAATAGTCCATGAAGAAAAGTATGAAAAATAAATCTCAAGAAGCAGACATTAAAGGTACCAGCAAAAATAATAGACTACATTTAAGTTTGAAGCATTATTTTAGGCAATCTACATCATTAATGACTTTTTCTTTGTGGTGGGTGTTACAGAAAAGAATGCATAAGGTCGGTTGGCATAAATATTGACTTCTACTATAAAAGTTCCTTTAATGTGAGATTATTTACATATACACACACACATACACACGCAGCACTTCTCAAATGCCTTTAAAAATTATTTGGCTTTCAAAATCTAAAAAATATGTTTAAAATATGGAGTATTTTTGAAGTACATATTTATTTACCCCTAAATTTATCTTTGAAATAACCTACTTAAGTAATATACCATAGTATGATATCTAATTATTATACCATGGTATTAAAATAAAAAGAACACCAGGTATATAAAAAATAATGAGACATTCATATTTTCAAATTTGAAAATAACTGCATTTAGAAAAAATGCATTCATTTATTATCTTCCTAAATGCACCAACAAAGATACAAAAGTACTATTGTTGTTGTTGTTATTGTTGTTATTATTATTATTGTTGTTATTATTATCATACTCATATCATGTTCCCACACATTCTGATCTCTGATGGGAAAGGGAAGTATTATTAATTGAGGTGTTTTTCTTTCCTAGAGAAGTGAGCTATATTTAATTTCTCCAAATGTTACACTATAAATTTCACCTCCAAAGCCAGTTGGAGACAGCTTTGGTCTCACAAATTTTTGAAGTGAGCAGCAATTCCTGTTTAGGTATTCAATTTCCTTAAATTTTGCAAGGTGGCACTCTTCATAAAAGGTAAATATTTGCTCTTGTAATCACAATAACATTCTTTTAAAAGTTAAATACCACCATTTGATGTTCTAAATACAGAAAGTTTACCAAATGCAGAGCCAGTAAAACTTTGTTGACTAAAAGTGACAAATACAAATAGCAAGAAATTAAGGAACAAATCAACTTTTTAAAAGAGAATTTAATGTTTTGATTTTTTATATTCTGAAATTTTGTCACTGTTAAGTAGATGTGAGTTTCTTAAGGGGTTGTCATACTTTAGAGGGATTTTCCCACTTGTTTTTCTCCTCAGTCATTTCCTGAACTCACATAGTATATTAATGAAGCAGATCAAAGTTCCTCCTTGCCCATAGTGAGGTCAGTCTCTGCCTCCTGCTTGAACAAATCCATACCCTTGCATCTACAGCCAAGGCCCTGATTTGTAATCTCCTGCTACGTGGTCTACTTAATGGAGCGATCATGCAAGCTACAACCAGAGACAAAGAATCTCATGTTCCTACCAGGGCAGCTAACTTGGAGGAAGCAACATAGCTTGCAAATCTATCAAACTAAACTGCAAGAAAGACAATCTGATTTAGAGAAAAGGCGTTCCGCTACAGTCATTAAGCACAAGTAATTTAGATTTTTTATATTGTCTCCTCATTTACAAATTTACTGTATCAACGCCAACCAATGGAACAAATTTCTTAAGTAAATGAGAAATAAATAAAAGAGATAGAAAGATAATAAGATTACATAAAATAATTCTCTTCCCTAGATGTATTTTGAGAGAACTAATAACAGTAGTAAAATTATAGTGATAATAACATATTGTACAAAGTAATTAATTTAAATTAACATCATGTATAAAGAAATATAAGTAAAACACTTTATGGACATTTACTTTTGTACAAAGAAGTAAGGCCTGGAAAAGCATGCACTGACAACCTGAAAATTAGTCATAGCTATAAATGGTTTAATTGAAGATGGCAGTTTAAAAATATATTGTAAATCTGCAACTTGGTTTCAGCCTGGGGAATTTAATTTCGGGGCAGTGGAACCTTTGGCTGCAAGTTTACTTGCAACGCTATAGAGTGAGCATTGAGCTTCTGACAATTCGTCTACATTAATATTGATGTCGCTTGTGCAATCTATTTCTGTTATTTTTATGGTTGTTGTTCTACATCTGCAAAGGTCATTTAAATTATATTGCGGCCTGAAATTTGTTTCATAAATTTTGATATAAATACTAATTACACCCTCTCAGAGAGCCAGCAGGGTAGCATTCATTTATCATGTTTATACAACCTGCAATGACAGAAAGGGAAGGATAGGGAGACCAGAGAGCTTTTCCCAAGAATTGCTAAGAGTGGCAGAAGAGGCAGCAGGTTGCTGGGGTGAGGGCAAGGAAAAAGAAATTCCTACCACAATCACTGAGATTTAAGAATCTTTAATAAGGTACGAAAAATTACCAAACATTTCTGGAAACTAAAGTGTACATAACGAGTTCTTCTAGCCATAAATATTGAATAGCTGTAACATGAATAGTCCGGCCCTTTACATGCGGGTAAATATGGTAAATATGGAAACTAGGAATTATATACATTACATGTTGTTTTTGCCAAAAGCAACTGACAGTTATAGTTTATATCTTTTTTAATATCACTTTACATAAACAATGGGCCAGTTTTGACACGCAGATTCAGGCTCCTACTATACGAATTCTTGACAGGACGTGAAACAACATTTTACTGCACTTAAGTACTTAGACTTTGGGACAAAATGTTTGCACTTTATACCAAAACAAAACAAAACAAAACAAAAACACACACACACATCAATACCAATAATATTCTTTTAGGTCGACGTGGAGACTGTAATCGTACAAATTCACATTTTGGTACACATTTACTAGAACAATCTTGCCATTCAGTACAAATAGTTGGCTTTCACCAGCCCCCTAACCTTTCCCCCCCCCCTGCCCTCCCAGCCCTTCCCCGCCCCAATGCAAAGACCACAACGCCACGATCCCACCCGCCCGCTCAAAACCGAGATATAACTATTTACAGAATCCAACGAACAGTTTTAAGCTAATAATTCTGTATTTACAAGAATGCAAAGTCAAAAAACAAACAAACAAAAACAAATAAACACGCGGAAGCCCACAGAGCCTGTTCCAATTCTGTTGGGAAACTGGACCCCCGGGGTTGTCAGCATTTGGTCAGGCAGTAGCCTGGTCCTCGACCCCCTTCCCTCCTCTTAGCTACCAAGCCTTTGCCAAAAAAGAAAAAGAAAAAGAAAAAGAAAAAGAAAAAGAAAAAGAAAAAGAAAAAGGAAAAGAAAAAGAAAAAGAAAAAGAAAAAGGAAAAGAAAAAGAAAAAGGGGGACGGGTAACGAAAGGTTTAATGCTTTCTCTCTCTCTTACTCGAACCTGGGTCTACAAGCAAGTTCAAAAAAAAAAAATAGAATTGCGGAGTAAGGTAGCAGTGTTGATTCGCAGGGATCTTTCAGTTATATTTTGCATACGGTTATGTTCGGTCTCTTAAATAGGATTTTGATCGGTGTTTTGCTTCTGATTTTAAACGTACCATTCATTAAAATTAGAAGAGAGCGCGCTGTGACCGGCTGTGTGGTGGATCGCAGAGGAGGAGGGCGACAGGGAACTGGTGGTGGGGTTGTCTGTGGAGGGAGACACGATTGTGGGTGGCGTGGAGGACTCGTAGCCTGAGCTGGCGGCCGGCGAAGGCTGTGAGCCCTGGGAGGAGGATTCGTGGACCTGCGGAAATAAAGTCGAGTTTTTAAGGAGATAGAGAGCGAAAGCAGCAGGAGCAGCGACCGCCGAGGATGGGTGAAGGCAGCGCGCCGCCTCGCTCAGGAGCCCAGCATTCACTGGACCTCTAGGGAGGCTTCACCAGGGGCACTTGGGCTCGATTGTCCCCGCCACGCCCTGCAACAGCAGTTCTCCAGTGAGGGATAGCGACCCCGGGGTCACAAAAGAAAGATCTGGGAACCTGGAGACTGGATATGAGGCTAGAGCCCCAGAGGGCTCCCCACACCCTGCCCCCGCCACTCGACTTTGCTTGCTCAGGTCTACATACAAGACCTCAACTCTTCTGCAAACTCTTCCAGCCCCAATTGCGGCAACTTCGTCAGCGTCACCCAGGTAGAATAGCCCCCACTCCCTATCTGGGCCAAATTACTTTTCACTTTTCTTGTTAAAAAATAAATTTAAACAGTTTGGGGTTCACCCACCCCTTTTTCCACTCTCTGCCCAATCCGACACAGCTGGCTGCCACTAGCCGTGCACCCAGTCTAAGGGCAGAGCGGGCTCCTGTCTCGAGGCAATTACCTTCATGTGTTTGCGCAGCGAGCTGGGGTGCGTGTAGGACTTGTCGCACATCTTGCAAAGATAGGGCTTGTCGCTCGTGTGCACGTGCATGTGCTTCTTGCGGTCGCTGCTATTGGCAAAGCGTCTGTCGCAGCCCTCGAACTCGCACTTGAAGGGCTTCTCCCCTAGTGTGAAGGGTGTTAAGGAGAAAAGTCTCATTAGAACAAATTCTGTGGTTGTATTTTTAAACGTAAACAAATAAAAAAAATAAAAACAAAATAAAAAAAGATTGCAAGTGAAAAAACCCGGCTCTTCAATAAAGTCACATATATTCAGTGGTTTTATAAATATTTTAATTAATTTATTATTAATCTAATTAGGTCCAGATTCTATTGTTGTTGCTATTATTATTATTATTCGATTTTTTTATTTTTTTTATTTTTTTTTTTAGATCACAGAGCAGTAGCAGGTTTTTCTGCCTGGGACTATACAAATGACTTAAGGCAGCAATACCTGCCTCAAAGTTTTTAATTTTCACTTTAGGGGCTGATTCTCCTGCTGTTTTGCACCTATCTCTTCCCCCCACTTTTTCCCTGAGGCTCTGCAACCCCTTTTTAATTTCTCCCACCACACCCCCTACATGTAGTCACATTTTATAAGGTAATCTGAGTGGAGAGGTTGGCACCACAAATTCTTCCCTGACTGTGGCCATAAACTTAAAATTCCAAAAGCAGTTCTCAGAAATTACTGGGGATATAAGAATAGGGAAACAGAGTGGATTCCTGGCTTTGTTGGAGCAAGAGGCCCAGAATGGCCTATCTGACCCACACTACAACTATGAGCTCAACTGCAACTTTTCTTATAACTGTTCAGACCAGTTTCTATTTTAAAGGCCAATGTAGGGAGATTCCGTGTTTTGAAAACCACCTCGTAGAATCTGATTGATGACGAGAGAGAGAGAGAGAGAGAGAGAGAGAGAGAGAGAGAGAGAGAGAGAGAGAACCTTCCTCTAACTCCTCAAGCTTACAAACAAGTCACAACTAAAATTCTATTCTTTAAATATGAGTAACCTCCAAAAAGCCTCCTCTGATCAGACTTGTTTTCACCACTCCCTCCCTCCTTTCTGTCTTTCTGTTTTTATTTCTTTCTATGCATCTTCATTCGACATCCTTCAATTTCCTCAATCCCATCCTTTGGGAAAGTCCTCACTAAGGTGTCTAGAGAAGGATAAGGATGTTGGTGGGAAGCAAACATTTAGACTTAAATTGTCTGCTGCTGGTGCAGCTGGAGCCTCTGCCATCAGGAAGAGCTGGCCACCTCTCCCTGTTTCGCGCTCACGTCAATTATTCAAAGCCAGGTCTCTGCTCTCCCAGCCTTTTTTATTCCTCATTTTAAAATCTATATCCCAGGATCCTTCCCGTCTGATCGTCTTATACTTTTTTCATCGTTTCAAACCTGAAACCAAAAACCAGCGTACACTTTTGCTGCCTGCCTGCTGGAACCTGAGGCCCAGACTCAACCAAGGCCCAGTTTGTGCCTGACCGCTGACATTTGGATTTCCGGTCCCAGGCCCAGGATGAAGCGGGAGTGGGGCACAGGTGGTGGGTCAAAGAAAGAGGTTTCCATACCTGTGTGTGTTCTTTTGTGGATCTTTAAGTTCTCGGAACGAGCGAACACCTTGCCACAGCCAGGGAAGGGGCAGGGAAACGGCTTCTCTCCCGTGTGCACGCGGATGTGGTTGACCAGTTTGTATTTGGCTTTGAAAGGCTTGCCCTCGCGAGGGCACTCCTCCCAGAAGCAGATGTGGTTACTCTGTTCAGGTCCGCCGACGTGCTCCACAGTGACGTGCGTAACCAGCTCATGCATGGTGCTGAAAGTTTTGTTGCAGGACTTTTTGGGGTTGGCCAGCTGCTCCGGCTCGATCCACTTGCAGATAAGCTCCTGCTTGATGGGTTGGCGCATGTAGCGGAAGAAGGCTCCGGCGCCGTGATGCGCGGCCATGTTCACGTTCATGGGCCCGTAGCCGTGAAGCTGAGGCGCGGCATAGTGCTCCGAACGTGGGCTTGTCACCTGGCCGTATTGCTCGGGCCGCGGGTACATGTCCCCAGAGAAGCCAAGCCTCATCTGCCCATTGACCACGTTGGACGATGCGTGGCCCGTAGCCTGCTCATGAAGGCCAGGGAAAAGGAGGTGGCCCGCAGCGTCCGTGTGGCCGTGTGGGCCCCCGAAACCCCCTGCCGAAGCAGCAAACAGGCTGTGCTGAGCGCTGGCTGCTGCTGCCGCGTCTCCAAAGCCCCGGTTGCGGAACAGAAAGTCCCGCGTGGAGTTGAAGGCTGCGCTGGAATAGGAGCCGACGTGGCCCGGGTGGTGGTGATGGCCAAGGGCAGCGGCAGCCGCGTAGCTAGGCGCCTGAGATGTGAAGGCTGTCTGGCCCGCAGAGGCCAGCTCGTGCGAGCTGGGGTTGAGCTTGAAGGCTCCCATGCCGTCGGCGAACGGGTTGATGCCCAGGCCAACGTCGCGCTCAGACACGTCGCCCGCGGAGTGGTGGCGGGACGTGCCAAAGGTGGTCACGCCGATCGCGGGGTACTGGGGGCCGGCGTCCAGGAGCATCGTGGCTGCTCCGGGCGAGCTCCGGCCTCCCCCACCCCCACCCTTGCCTACAGAGGAGGGAAAATTGGAAGGAGGAGGAGGAATGGGAGGTGGAGGAAAAGGAGGAAGAAGATGAGGAGGGAGGGGGAGTCGACCCACCTCTCGAAGTCCTAGCCTGCAGGCAGCCGCTCCGCGCGCCGGGGAGCCCGCCTGGCCGACTTCGGAGAAGCCAGACGGCTACCGGCAGTGGGCAAGGCGGGCTCCGGAGCCCTCAGAGCAACCCCGCTGGCCGGGCTCGCACTTTCTCGCCGCTCAGTCTCTGTTGAGAAGAGCCCGCGTCAAGCCTGCCCAGGGAAAGCCGTGGAGCATCTCGACCCACCCTCCCAACCCCCCCTCCAAAAAAAAACCTTCCTCCCAGATTTGTAGCATAGAGGAATGTGAGCACAGGAGCCGAAATTGCTCACTCTCCGCCTCGCACCGGATGCCCCTCCTCACTTCTCCACTAGACCCTCGCTCTTGCTCTCTTTTCTCTCAGGTTCACCTTTTCGCTCCTTCACTCTCCTTTTTCCCTTCTGCCTTTTGCAATAATAATAATAATAATAATAATAATAATAATAATAAGCGGGGAGCAAAAAAGAAAAAAAAAGCCAAAGAAAAGGTGCAAATAATGCACAATATTGTCTTTTGCGGTTTATCTTCCTGGGGAGAAACTTTCACCTCCTCAGCCGGGCGGTGAGCGCGAGACTGATAGCAGTAATCATTCCTGCAGATAAATGAATTGAAAGGACGACACCGTCTCCCCCCTCTTCCCCCCCCTCCCTTGATGAATGGGAGCAGGGGGGAGGTGTCACGTGCGGCTGACGCCAGCTCCCATTGGTGCGTCCGCATTCACGCCGTCTGCAGCCGCCGAGTCAACTGAGGGCGCGCCTAGGCGCCTTGCGCTGTTCATTGGCCCTCCAGCCTCATCAATCCCAGGTATTGTAAAGCGCTTGACATCCCCTTTTGACAACCTCGGCTGCCTAGAGAAGCAACTTTTTCCCCCCCAACATTTTTACCCTCTTCTCACGGAAAAAAAAAATGGAGGGGGGGCATGATTTCTTTTTCTTCTCGCAGTCATACAGATTTTTTTTACCCTGATTCCTCTTGCTTGTTGCTTGTCCTCTCCCATTCTTCTCTCTCTCTCTCTCTCTCTCTCTCTCTCTCTCTCTCTCTCTCTCTCTCTCTCTCTCTCTCTCTCTCTCTCTCTCCTCTCTATCTATCTCTAATCTCTTCTTCTTAGTCTTGTCCTTTTTCAAACCTGGTTTTAGCTGAGAGATTAGGGACTTCGGGTGTGTGGGAGAGCAGGAGACAGGGCTAGGGCTAGTAAACACAGCTAAATCACTTCTAGAATGTCCGGATTCAGCAACTTTCTTTTCTTTCCCTCATCTTCCCTCCCTTCAAGGGCAGCAAAGGAAGCTTTTGTTATTTGCTCTTTTTGAAGTTTTCTTTCTTCTTGCATTGCCCCCCCCCCCACCACTCCTGTTTATAATTTAAGGTCCCAGGAACACACGGACATTCCACTCTCTCTTTACAAAATATCAGGATAACCGATTCCCTTGGTTTTCTTGTTTTTATCAAATCCATCAGGTTTCCTGCCTCAGTTTCCTCAGTTTCCTCACCACAACCACCACCTCAAATAAGCATAGGTAGGTGAGTGCTCTTAACTTTCTAGTTTATTGAGGTTTGGAGTTTTTTTTTTTAATAGCAAATTGGGAACATTGCTGCTCAGTTCCCCCCCCCCCCCCCATGTTATTCTTCTCTTTTCTCCCTTTTCTCTAGTCTCCCTCATCTGCCCCCATGACCCCATCCTTCTGCACTACTGTTTCCAATGGGAGCCCCTTTCATTCAGGTAAAACTGTAAATTTCCCAATGTGCCATTGTTCTTCAGAACTGTCCAAAGCTCCCTAGAAATCCTCAAATACCTTTTTGGTATTTAAATCCCTGATAGATAGAACCAATGTAAATTTTGTGACATTCAAACCTTTTTGACTTCACAAATCAGTCACCCTTGTCACAGTTATTGAAATTCTGCAACTTGCCACACCAGGACTGTGGAAAAAACGGGCGCTGTCTTTGTTGCTGACCAGGCTTTTGATCGCCAAAGAAAATTTACTTACCTTCAGATGAGTGAGCAGAAAAAGAAATAACACTCCCTTTGATTTAGTTAGGAAAATGCAGACATTTGGATTCAGTGCAAACATACAACACTTGCTTGTTTTCGCGATGCGGCCCTCGATTAACCTGTCTTTGCCCAGCGCAAAGTCTATTCAACAACTGCCCGTAGTTGCTTTTTGTCCTGTCCACAAAGAGCCATTGACCATATATTAAAATGATTGTTGAAAGGTAGAAGAATATGGCACTTAAAAGTAGAAGAAAAATCCCTGTGACTCAATCAATTAAGGCCAGTAACATTTATGCATTTCAAAAAAAATGCACAGGGATGCTCGGGCGGTGGTGGAAGATAAAGGTTGCGTTTCTCCCCAGCTCTGTTTAAAACCCAGCAGTCTGGGCTGAGGATTTAGCTCAAATGTCTGCATACTCATTAGATCTAATTATTTTCTAGTAAGGAAAACACAAAAAGCCAAGAGTCGGAATCTTTCAATTTGCCCTTTGTTTCTAACTTCATTTGGCTTATTTGCAGCTGAATCAGAGCCCTAAACTCTCTTCGCAAACAAAGAAACCTCAACTCATCCTTTCACAGCTAGGAAACTCTCCAGTGCTTGGGAGAAAGGAAAATGAAAATGAATTTGTTTTGCCCAGTCTCCAGCCTTAGCGGCAAAGGCAGGAGGAAGACAGAATCAGCACTAGCCATTCCTTGCCTTTCTGGTTTTCTGGTCTTTTCGTCGACTAGATTTTCACTTGGATTTGGCAAACTGAGCTGCCCTTTTCCTGCACTCTCCCCTCTCAAAACCGGACTTGTGTAACTGGAATGGTTTCCCAGAGTCTAAAGAAACCCGGCGCAGAGTATTTGTGCTTGGACTGGGAAATAGAAATTTGAGAGAGAAAAAAAATCAAATATACTGTCCCCAGCAACAAGTCTGAGCGCAGCAGCCCAGTACTAACTTTGACTGGACCTGTTTGAGAAATGGAAAGAAAGGGCACAGCTTGAGAAGTCGTTTTTGTTTGTTTGTTTGTTTGTTTGTTTTTTAAGTATACACTTTTAATTGCTCTGATATATCTATTTTGAACAAGGGGTTTTCTACTGTCTACAGGGGAGTTTGGACCTTACCTGCAGCTTTTCTCTGGAGGCTAAACTGCTATCCTAAGGAGAACAAATATTGAACCCGTCTCTCCCGCCTTTCCAAAAAAAACAAAAAAACAAAACACAAACAAACAAAAAAAACAAACAAACAAGGAGGGAACGTGAAGGGGAAGGTAACCATTAAAAAAGGTTCTTCAAAAAAGAAAAGTCTTCTCTCCAGTCTGTGGAAAATCCAATGGGGACTTTGAAAAGAGTATATTTAGGAAACGTGTCCAAATATACAGGGTAAGAGTGACTGTATAGGGAGGGGATAAAGAAGTTGTGGGTTGTAGAAGTTATCAATTGGGATTTGCTGCGCTCTCTGCAGGAAACGAAAGAGGCTCCAGTTCAAAGCCACATGCACCAACGTGACATATAAGCCATTAAAATATCCTGACGGCTCATTTCTGCTTCATCATACATTCTCTAACTGCTTCCCGAAAGCTGGAAAAAGAGAAATGAAGGATGACCGCCTCGCTGGAACCACAAAGAGAGGCTTGGAGGGGTTTGTGGTTCCCCTTCCGCACCCCAAAGTGATGTGCAGAAATGAGGAGACCCCAGCAACAGGTGAAATGGGGTAAGTGCATGAATCCAGGGGGTAGACAGAAGAGACTTGTATCCCCAAGCAGTTGGGTAGCAAGCTCCCTTATGGGAGCCATTGGCACCCAAACACCTCTGGGGGGGAAAGCCCATCTAGACTTTCTCCCCAACCAAATGCCTCTCTAGCCCCCCCCCCCGCCGCCCCCCAACCATGGGTATTGGCCCTATCTCACTGACACTAAAGGGGGAGGAGGGCCCTTCTATCAAGGGGCAGTGATCGTGGATGAGTGCAATCCTTCTCCCCAGGAAAGAGGGAGCTGTAAGGGGACCAGATGGAGCACCAACTGGAAAGGGGACCTAGAGCAGCTTGTTGCCCACCCGCCCTCCCTACCTCTCTCCTTGTAAATTGCCTGGGTGTCCAGGTGGGCACAAGATGGGGAATTGTGGTCCTGAACTTCCCTCTCAAGGAGTGACCAGAAGGGACCCCTGCGAGTAGCTTCTCTGCTTTGCCCCCAGGAGGATTGCTGGAGGGACTCCGCTGCTCCTCCCCAGGGTCAAGGAGCCTAGTTATCCAGGCTGGCAGCAAGATGATGGAACTTCTCCGCCCCAACCTGAAGGCGGATGCTGGCTGGGTCAGCCGCGGGGCTGGATCACTGCTCTCATGCGTCCTGTGGTCCTGCTTCAAGACGCTGACCGCTGAGATCCGCTCTCTGCCCCGCTGCCTGCCATGGGTTTGGGACTTAACTTTCTTTCTCTCAGATACATATGAGGGCTAACACTAGCTCTCTGGGGAGCAGGCCGAAGCCACCTCGGATTCTGGGCACTATGCTAGACACCTATGGACACTGTATGTAAATTAGGGACAAGAGGAGTGGAACTGTGGGGCAGTGCAAGAAAGTAGGTCTGCCTCAAAGCTTTGACCATGGGAATAGCTGGAATCTAGTGAGGTCTTGGGAATGGAGAAGGGGCATTGGAAGGTTGCAATTTGGTTGGCACCATCTGCAGGAGAGCACCTTTGGATTTCTGGTCAGCATTGGCGGCACAGCAACCCATGGAAAGGCACCACCTTACTTTCTCCCATCTAAGCCATGGGCAGATTTAGGGACGATGGTGGTTCAAAGGCATAGTTAAATATCCTTCAAGGGACTTATTAATGCAAACTCTAAGATGGACACAAGAATGTCACCCAGCCTTCAGCCATGGGCTGAGGAAAGCCCAGCTCTTCCCTCTAGGGAACAAAAGAATTAAAAAAAAAAAAAAAAAAAAAAAAAAAAAAAAAAAAAAAGGTTGTCGCACAGCCCAGACTCACATCCCAACTTCCTGTATTCAAAGATCCAGTGGAGGGGAGCCAGGGAGGTGCCTGGTGCAGCTGATTACAGCAGGCCATTAGCAAAGGTGAAGAGGGGTTTTGGATTTGGAGCTCTGAGGCAGTCTATAGGATCCCTGCTCTGCATCCACACTGGCTGAACTGAGGCAGACAGGATAGCATGCCTTCTTCTTAGGAAAGTCTCCAGGTTAATCAGTGTGGAGCAGTGTTGCAGTCTTGGGGACTAGAGGCCCTAGCTTGAGAATCAGACTGCAAATGACTTCTGACCTTGAATAGGACCACACAGGCTAGGGTGAGCCCACAAAATAGTGCCCTTTGCATGTACACCCCCCCCCCATCCTACCTTCTTGGCTCTCCCCCAGCACAATTAACTATATAGGGTTTGCTGGCTCCTCTTCTCAGGGTATGGAAATTCAGGCAGACTTCAATAATTTCCAGATTGTGCTCCTGACTGGTGATTCATTGGTCAGAGCTGATGTGAGAAGAGGAGTCAATAGCAATCATTCAGGGAGGAAATCAAACTTAGCAATTTCAGAGTTTTTAAATCCTTGGATTGGTGGAGATCACAGGTCCCAGGACCCAGGGACTGCTCCTCCTTTCTCTCACTCCTCCTTTAAAAGATGACCAGCTTGCTAAGTGGGGTCAGAGTTTGAACCAAAGAATATATTTACTTTTGTTTCCTGCACTGGAGGGTTATGAAGCTGCTACAGAGAGCAGCTTAAGGTCCCAGTTGCCTGCCTGAAGTCCAGATTCTGCAGCAATTGTTTGCATGCCTGTGGGTTTGTAACATACAAAAGACTGCCAAGACCTGGGAGTGGAAGTGGCCTGGGCCTCTTAAATGGAGGGCTTGGGCAGCATTGTGGGTGAACAGAGTTCTCCAGGGAAATTCACACCCATTTTCT